GCGCCGCACCGGCCACGCCACCACCACCACCACGCCGGCACCCGCGCCACCGCCACCGCAACCGCCCGCCCTGGCTCACGCCTATCCGTACCTGCACCCCACGCCACGCGCCACCGGCCATACACGCCGCCGCACCGCCACCTGCCACTTGCACCCCACGCACACCAAGCCCACCACACCGTGCTCCGCCCTGTACGGGGCAAAGGCGTCTCCGCTGGCCATCTACGCGTCAGCCAAACACCACCATCACCACCGCGTCCATCTCCGCTGACATTTGCACCAGGCCACCGCCGCCGTGCTCAGCCGTCCATCACAGAGGTCGTTTCCTCTGCAGCTGCATCCGGCACACTACGCCCGCCCAAACAACGCAATCTCCGCTGCCATCAGCGCCATTACGACCACTGCCGCACCATAGCCCCACTGCATCATCGCCATCCACGAAGGCCATCTCGGCTGCCCTCTGCCCCACCGCCGCCGGCCGAGCTACTGCCCGCCGCCAAATGACATCTTCAGGCGTCGCCACTACGTCAGGACGTACGTCTAACAACGCAGCCGCCTTCCCACCAACACTGTTGCCACTCGCCACAACACGTCTGACGCCCTACAAACCGTGACGGCAACATCGCCTTACCTACTCTACATCCCTCACCCAATCATGACGACCAATTCCACACCTGCCATCAGGGCTACGCCGCTCCACGCAACGCTCATCACCTCTACTCTGCTATCCACCGCATCCGCACCGCAGGCTCACCACCGCCGATGCGTCAGGCTACAGCTGGTCTCATTCTACCATCACCGCTTGCAATGATTAATAATAATAATAATATATAATAATAATAATAATAATAGATAATAATGAGATAATGATGTCTTTATCAAGTGGCGAGGCTCAGGCCACAGGGGCTGCTCTTGCCACCTATCCGGCGAACAAAAAATGATTGGTCGGTCATCTGACACAACCACCGTCACACGCCGTCGCACAATATCACCGACGCTCACCCGCTCCCGTCCCCCCAGTCACTAGAACGCGCCAGATCACCAAGAGCATCACCGAATGCCGCCTGCATCATCGAAACCAATAACGCTAGCCCTCCAGGCCATATTACCACCACCGTGGGAGGGGGAAGGGCGGGAGGGAGTCGGCAGCCACGCCGCAACCACGTGGCCTCCCACGCACGCACGCCGCGTGCGTAAGCGCCGCACGAGCACCGGGTTTACACAACGCCGCCCTTCTCCCCACGCACGCCTTGCTCGCTGAGTGCCAAGTGGTGCACGCTGTGCTCCCTAGCCGCTCGTGGCCCGCCTTCTTGTATTTGTATACCGACTGACGTGACCTGACTTGATTGACCTCACCGACGTTGATTGGCATGCCAGACGTTGCTTGGCCTGCCCGACGTTGCTTGGCCTGCCAGACGTTGCTTGGCCTGCCCGACGTTGCTTGGCCTGCCCGACGTTGGTTGGCCTGCCCAACGTTGGTTGGCCTGCCCGACATTGATTGGCCTGCACGACATTGATTGGTCTGTCCCACGTTGATTGGTCTGTCTGACGTTGATTGGCCCGCCCGATGTTGATTGGCCTGACTGGAGTGACCTGAGTCAATTGATTGACCTGACCTACCTGATTGTTTCTCAACTTGTCTGTCTGACCACCTGCTATTTGTTTGTTTACCTGCTGTCTATTTAGTGCCAGCCTGATGTTCTGTCTGTGCACATGCTGTCTGCTTGCCTTGTGCATCCTATTCTATATGCCTGTCTTCTGTCTGTTAAGGGAGTCACAGGATTAATATTAAAAACTTCTAGGGCATGTAGAGAGGTCGTAAACCATTACATTTCCCCGATGAACATATTGTGAAAAATGGCATATAACGGAGTTATATGCATGTATATGTACTTGTGCAATTTAAACTTGATTTTTGAACAATCCCGTATGCACAGGTACATGAAAACTCATATGCTGCGTCAGAACATGACCTGCCAAACGTCTATACCTAAAGAGTTAGCTAAAATACGTAGGAAAAGTCACATGTGTAACTCCTGTATAAGAAAATCCCCATTACATGTTTATTAGCATGGTTATTATTTCCCATTATTAGGTGTTCATCTTCGACCCGCTCTCCATGCCCTAGGAATTTTTAACATTTATTCTGAAGCGTCTGTTTCTGTCTGGAAGACCTGTGGTGTAACGATCACACCGCTTTCCCTATAACGCAGAAGCCATTTTATTATACAAATTAATATTTAACTTGTTTTTATGAACATTATAAAATATTGTTTTTTTCGTTTTCATCGCTCATTGCGCTAAGACTGATGTACTTATTTGTGGTGTCTGAAGAGATTAAAACGGTTATCATAATTAAAGGTTGTATTTCATATAACTATATACACAGGTCATATTTTATCACATCGTAACTTAACTACACTAAATCCTCGTTAGCACGAACTCGCGTAGCACGAAATTTGTCGTGAAACGAACAAAATTTGGGTAATGAGTAATGAAGCAGCCTTATTGTGTCCACGTCTTAATTTGTTACGTCGATAAGGGGAACAGAACAACATTGGTTATCTCCAAGCAGTATAACCAGTAACTGAAAAGTGGTGAGTCACGAAGTGCGGTATTTGATCTAGCCGCAAACTGCCCGTGGGACCTTTTCTTACTTTGTTAGTTAATCTAACCCATTGAGCTATGGAACCAAACATAACATTCGAGACAATTTAACCATCTTATATACGATCAAAAATTTGACTCCAAAGCGATCAAATATTGTACTTCGTAACATTCCATTTTGATTTATTACACATGGTGCATAAGTACGTTTACATAATCTGAGCAACATTTGTTTTCCATGTAGTAATGAAGATATATTTATAAACTTCGGATAACACGAATTTTTATAACAAGAACACCGTTTATTTCAGTCCCTTGGAATTCGTGTTAATGAATGGTTTACTATATTAGCCACAGATTACTTGGCCTCACTACCACAGACTCTAGTTTTGTTATTATATAGTTGTATCGCTATAGGCCACATGCTAACTGTACGATGAATATGTACCATGTAGGACTGTATGACGCAATGGCATGAAAGCGTTACTCACCGGAACTCATGAAGTAGGGGATGCGGAAGCGGCCCGACAGCACGCGGTCCCTCAGCGCCTGCAGCGACGCGCCGTCGAAAGGCAGAGCCCCGCACACCAGCACGTACAGCACCACGCCCAGGCTCTGCAACGCACACACATGCACTTAGGAATGGGGTGGACTGATTATTTCGTGTTTCCGGGTGCGTTAACTGCTACGGTCATTAGTCCCGCGCGCGTCTCGGAGGGTGAGGGGGTTAGCTTTACTGGCTTCTGTGCGCGGGTTCGGTATAGGCCGAGGTGCGAGGAGTTTCGAAGGGCGAAAAAATCCACAGTAGTCATGCCACTCTTGCGGCGTGTGAAAGAACCCTGGCGGATGCCCGGTTCCGGGGAAATTAAATCTTTCGGAAAATATCTCGCCCTAACGAGGCATCACTTCGTCTCAACCAGACAGCTGAGAGAGACATCTGGCGGAGAAGGTGAAAGTGAAACCCCAGGCCCAACAGGTCTGGTGTCGACTTACAAGTTGGCCTGAGAGCAAATTCACATCCAGGTAACTGCGCTAGCCGAGAAACGCCCCAGCCGGGACCCCTAAGGGCACGACTTCTGTGTACCTATCGTAAAAAAGCGAAAGAATTAATGTGTGTTCCATAAACATTTCGGAACCCTTGGTGTGACTGCTCCCAAATTTGACTTACATTTGTACGCCTGACAAACAAGTGGAGGGAGTTTGCGATTAAAACTGTTACCCCTAAAGATTATTTATTTAAATTAAAAAGCGTTTATATTACATTATACAAATATATTATACCTATTATATAATTGATTTCTTTGTTGAACTACTAATTTTATTTGAACATTGAAGCATCGTCTCGTATCTAGTACTAGTGCTAAAAATTGATCATTTAGCACTACTGTACAAGCCCTAAAAGTAATCGGTTTTACTAGTGGCTGTCTCAAAATAAAATTACATCTATTTTTACAATTATTGATAGAATTAATTCCTTTTCTCGCCTTTTAATGTTTGTGGTAAGTAAATGTTCGGGAAACGTCAGATTACTTAACGGTAAATACAATTAATTAACGATAAAAGCGACTAACACTAAATTAAAGCAATTTCATTTTATTTTCACAAATTGAATTATTGGAACTCAGAAGTCAATAATTTTTTATCGGCGAGAAAATGGTTTTAATGGGAATTTGGCGTATTTTCCCGATGAATGTGAAATGCTCGCGAAGTCCATTTAAAAAAAAGTGGACGGGTTTGTGTGCAAGTGTGTGGGTATGTGAAAATGTGTATGCGCATCTGACTAAGTGTGAATAAACAGTGAGTGTATGTATGACGAGAGAGAGAGAGAGAGAGAGAGAGAGAGAGAGAGAGAGAGAGAGGAGAGAGACGGAGAGAGAATAATATGTGTTTGTTTTATAAAAAATGTAATCAAGTGTGTGTAAATGTATGTATGTGGGAATGTGTGCGCACGGGTATGTATATGAGAGAGAGTGCGTCTCTAAAAGCAATACAGAGACTGCGTTAGTGTGCAATTGCATGGGCATGTGATTAAGAATGATTATGTGTAAGTGTGATTTAGAAAATGTAGACTACATGAGAGGGAGTGTATCTGGATGTAAGAAACGTTGCGAGAAAGCAGCCTTTCTTTGTATCTAGGTGAATGAGTGGATACGTTGATGTGTGTCTGAGTTTGTAAGAGGGAGTGTAAGAATTTGAGCATAAATTATAACGTGTATATAAGTGTAAGAGTGGGCGTCTTTATATGTGAATGTATGAATTAGAAGGTAAGTATGTGCGTTGGTGTGTGTGTGTGTGTGTGTGCGTGCGTGCGTGTGTGCGCGCGCGTGCGCGGGTATGTGTATGCGTGCGTGATTTTCAGTGGTGTGTAAGTATGAGAGGGAGGGTCTGTAAATGTAAGTTTCCGCGTGCGTGCAGTGTGCGTGAGTGTGTAATTGCATGGAATACTACTAAGAGTGAGTGCTTGAGTTAGTATGTGTACGTGCATCTGACTATGTGAGAGGGATTGTATCTGCATATAATGCATGGATTTACGTGAATGTATGGAAGTATGGAAGAGCATCTTTGTATGTACACAAATGAATGGCCAAGTATAAGAGCTGCCTGGGTGTGTAAGAGGGAGAGTATCTACATGTAAGAATTTCTACGTGACTTCATAAGTGCACGAACGATCGTCTATTAAATGTGCGTGTTCAAATGAAAGGGCACGCGTATGCGCGTCTGCGAGCGTGAGCGTGTTCGTGCGTGCGGTTGGGCGGCCACTCACCCAGACGTCGATCTCGGGGCCGGTGTACTTCTTGCCCTCGAAGACCTCGGGCGCGGCGTAAGGCGGGGAGCCGCACCACGTGGCCAGCTGCTCGCCCGGCGTGAAGTGGTTGCTGAAGCCGAAGTCCGCGATCTTGATGTTCATCCCGGCGTCCAGCAGCAGGTTCTCCGCCTGCCAACAAAGCCGGCCCGCGTTACGCTCGCGCTCTGTGAATTGCATACCTCGCAGGGGCTAACCACTGGGGGAGGGGGGGGGGCAGCAGCCTTATTGTGTCCACGTCTTAATTTGTTACGTCGTTAAGGGGAACAGATCAACATTGGTTATCTCCAAGCAGTATAACCAGTAACTGAAAAGTGGTGAGTCACGAAGTGCAGTATTTGATCTCGCCGCGAACTGCCCGTGGGACCTTTTTGTTACTTTGTTAGTTAATCTAACCCATTGAGCTATGGAACCAAACAACATTCGAGATAATTTAACCATCTTACATGCGATCAAAAATTTGACTCCAAAGCGATCAAATATTGTACTTCATAACATTCCATTATGATTTATTACACATGGTGCATAAATACGTTACATCTTGGCAACATTTGTTTTCCATGTCACACCGCGCCTGGCCCAAAAGTGTGTCAAACCATTTCACTCATCAACACCTTTCACCCCTTCTTGAACAGTGCAACCAAAAATCATTTACGAACCACATGCTCTGGATTGGCTTTGAGTGTATGTCAATTTCAAAACCTGGCCGACAAGTTACTAGAGAATAATCTCAAATATGATATAAAAGACACTGGCGGAGAGACGATGCCGCTGACTCTGAAAAGGAAGGTTCTGAGAATCGAGTCCCCACGATGGTGAATTTTTTTTTCGCTAGACAACACACACACACACGCACACACAAACACGCACACACAAACACGCACACACAAACACGCACACACAAACACACACACACACAAACACACACACACACACACACAAACACACACACACACAAACACACACACAAACACACACACACACAGCCACCGCTTCCGACGCCCGCGGAGACAGGAAACGCAGTCTCAAAAGAGCATGGTGTTGGCCCGGCGCGCGCAAGATTCCCCGGTTTCAGTAACGCCCGCCAGCGGCGAAATATGCGTGAGGCGGCGTGCGCTGGCGTTTCTCCAACGTGGTCACAGTTCAACTTGAGGAAAGAAGAGCATCGTAGCGAGAGGAAACGATGTATTATTCAGTGGCGCTTCGTGCCAGCTCAATGGTTGCGCTACAACCCAAAAAAATGTGTAGATATTGAAATATATTTAGTTGGTGCATCAGTGAGTTCAGTTGGACGGATTGCGGGTCCAAGTTCCGAGTAAGCGTGATTGTTTACTGGTGTCGTGGCATTTTGTTCATTGTCATCCGTCAATCATTGATTTTTCTACCTCTCTTACCTCTCTCCAGCGACTCTGACTGGTGTTCGAGTCTCGAAGTTAGGAGATTTTCCAGACTAGCTACATTAGTCGATTTCAGGTATTGTTTCGAGGAGAATGCTTGCGGTCAGCTGCTCTGAACCTGTAATTTTCGTGGTTTCTTCTATCAATACCAGGTGAATATCGGAAAAGTACCCTAACCGACGGAGCAAGGACCGTGCGCGATCTTTCTTTCCCCCTCCCTGTCCTATCCTATCTTTATAAAATATTGTAAATGTACGAATCTCATTACAAGCAATTATTCTCTTACACAAAAGTTAATTAAAGCTTACACTTTATATTACGCTGAACTCCACAATCCTTAAATATAGTTTTAGGCTAGAAATATTCTTGACCTCGAGTTCTTAAGTCGTCAATTAACACAGCTCTTAGCGGATTATGTTATTTATTGAACACGCTATCTGCAAATATAGTTATAATAGCACATCGTTTTTGGAGCAGTGTGCCTTAAATCCACATAAAATAAATAAAAATCCACCAGCAATTTTCAAATGTTATCACACAAAAACAGACAAAATAAAAACTGAAGGGGACATAGCTCCGATACCAATAAAACTTCGAACTTCTAAAATCTTTTTAAACATCACAGACACGAGCTTTTTTTTCTCTCTATCGGTTTTCTTTCGGAATGCGACAGATTTGAAGACCCGAATGACCCGTCCCGAGCGAACACAAATGACGTCAACAAAACAAATCCCGAAGAGAGAGGTCGCGGGACGGTCGGACGCGCGGCTCGCGAGTCACGTCGTCACGTCAAAAGCGAAGTGACTCATTGGCCAGAAGCGGCGGCGGCGGCGACAGCTGACGTACGCGTCGCGGCAGAAACAAAACGCGCAAAGCGACGGTAATTGCGAGCTAATTGACTGCGGAGGGCTAGGAGCACTCTGCAAATAAATAGACACGGCTCTGTGACGCACGACCGCGCTCAACCGCACTATTTGAGGTTTCTATTGTAACGTCGGCGGTGGGCGGCCAGCCTTCCGAATACGAATGCAACATCGATGGCGATGTTTCAGACATACACATGCACATGTATACATGTCTATGTATGATTGTTAGACATACATACACATGTATATTAAATCCAATGTTTTAACCGGCGAATTATTAAATCCGATGGGCTTTTTTTATTATTTGCGTTTTGTGGCTCGTTTTCGATGTTTTGTACGTGAATGAAAAAGTTCCGTCATTATAATTTACGTAACACAAGTTTAAAATATGAAGTAATAACTTAAAATACTGTCAGTTGTTCGAATGAAGCGAGCGCTGTTCGTAGTATCTACATCGGTCCGACTATCTCTCGACCGAGAGATGACCCCCGATTTCCCGGCATTTAATACTCATTTCCTGTACGTATTCCTGTATGTGGGAAGATCCAGACTTGCATGGCAGCAGGAAGGCAGGACGGCAAGGGAAATTCAAGACGATCTATGGTCAAATACTCGTAAGGAGGCATGGAGACTGAGAGCGGAGAAACGGTATGAAAACACACACACACACACACACACACACCTTGGGGAGGCGGCAAACGCATACATAAGCGTGAGCGCTGTGGTTTCAGTTTTGTTAATTGTTCTGCTACCACTGTCGAATTAAATTTCCCTTCCCCCACACGAGCATTAATGTAAGAATTTACCAAGTATCGAGATCTACGTTGGGAATTAATGTTAGAAGTTACTACGTTTCGCAAACATCGATGTTCTGATTTTGATTAATATCGATCTTCAAATTTTGATTAACATCGATGTTTTGAGTTGGATTAACAACGTGTGCTGTAAAAAAAGCTTCCCCGTCATGTTTAAATACAAAATTATGCATTCTTGCACTGAAACCCTGGTTTTCGTGTCTCTAAAGGGAGAAAATTGTTTTCTCTGATTGGCTGTCGACCGTCTGTAATCCTGATTTACATCAAAATTATGAGGTACCGGATTTCCGGTTGTGCATATCTTGTGATTGATTTTAATAATATCAAGATATCGGGTGTGGGCAGTGAGCAGACCTCATGCAAGGAATTAATCAGCTACTGAAATGGCAGGGAGAGGGTCAACATTGGTCCAAGATCAAAGATTTTTGCATTTGATGTGGAATTGAGCATATGTTTCCATTTCACCATTCTTCTATGTTGTGCCTTTCTATCCTAGTATTCGTTATTATCCGGGAACGGATTTGCGTGTTGGGTCTTATATTACAGGAACAAAAAACGTGCATTCAATAATATTTTTTAGCGTTTACAAGATATACCAAATTAATAAGGATTCTCTTTACATTTGTTTACATATTTTGTGGTATTATTACATATTTTTAAATATTTTAACTACACGTTATTTTACATTTTAATGTATTTATACTTCAAAACAAAAAAATCAAATAAAATGTATGACACGAATTATCATTCTTACAAAGCAATTTAATGCTACCGCACGTCTATAATCACTGCACATTCGGCAAGCATTGTCAAACTTACCCGCCCCCCCCCCCCGCTCGTCAGTAATAACCGCACAACTTTTTTTGACTACTGACTTACCTTCCCATTCCCTTAAGCAACAAACAGATGAAGGTCGCATTGAGCACTGACGACAACATTCCAAACATACAGACTTCGTTTGAGGGAAGCAGAAACTAGTTACTTTCAAAGACGAGAACTTCTCTTCGCGGTTTTTCTCCATAATACCTAAAGAAATGGCTGAGGCATATCGAGGTCCTTCGCTTTGTAACTAATACCCCCGCTCTACACACATTTCTGCAATCCACCGTCCAGGAAAAGTTCCTCGTTAAGAAGTAATTTCAACCAGCAACGTGCTTGATTATGTTTCGTAAAGCCCATGCGTAACTCTATCCAAAACATCGGGAGAGGTGGCTCAGTGCATGTATTGAGGTCACTGCATTGCCTCTGACCGGGAGGTCCTAGGTTCGAGTTCCGAAAGTGGCAAGATTTTCGACACTAGTTTGTGTGCTAGTATTGAGTATTCAGTCGCTGTCTGGAAGAGAATTCTAGTGGCCGGCATCTCTGATCGATAGTTTTTCGTGATTTCTCTGGTAAACACTAGGAAAATACCGAAGTAGTACTGTAACAACCGCGCCACGGTACGCGCACGATCTGTCCTTCCTCTTCCTTGTCCTATCCTCACCCCTTACACACACTTGCATTAACATGCACTTCCACACATGCCGGGAGACTGGTCGGAAGTTCAGGTTCTGTCCTGGCTGGGGCAGTGCACTGCCGGTGGGAGATACCTGTTTGAGGGAAATAACTAATAACTGCCCGGAACAACTAACAACCAACCAACAAATGTATTGAAAACGAACAAATATTTTTTACGTGACGTCGTCCAATCACGTTCGATTTGGTGAGGGGGATATGCCCCCCCCCCCCGTCCGGGATCCATCACTGGTTACACGGTACCACTATTCATTTGAGCTCCGGCTCCTTGTAAAGAATATCGAATATACAAATAACGTATTTTATATTTCGAACAAACTCTTATGTGTGAAAACTAGTGTAGATTTTTGTAGAGGTAGAACGTCCTTTTAGCTGCTCCGAATCTCATTTGCATCTGATTGACAACACTCTGTGATTGAAAAATGCTTGTGTGTAGCAATTTTAAATACTGTACTGAATTTTATTTTACATATTTTATATTTTTTCTGACATTTTGGAATAAATAAAAACATACACATGTACGTCTTTTGCATTTTTATCTTCTCTTCGTCTTGTTTATATATTTACACACACAAAAATAGATGTTGGTATATATATAAGAACGGTAAACTTCGATATTTACTAGGCTGTCCGGGTGACGCCGCGTCCTTGGCGAAGGTGCCGACGTTTCGGTCGCCATTCTGCGACCTTCCTCAGGGCGTATTGGGCGAATACGCCCTGAGGAAGGTCGCAGAATGGCGACCGAAACGTCGGCACCTTCGCCATGGACGCGGCGTCACCCGGACAGCCTAGTAAATACTGACTCCGGCCGCTAGCCTATGCTCTCAGGTAAACTTCGACATCGTGTGACCGATCTTGATCAAAGTTGCCACATTTACGTGTTTTTCTTCTTTTTTCACCCAGAACATTTATGTGTTAATCTTGTTGTTACTCTACTAGATGGCGCTGCAGAACAAAATTGCGCTTCATTTTAATTCAATTTACATTTAACCTGGACTTCATGTTTGCTGACCGTTGCCGTGTGATGCAGGGCAAGACACAGACCGAGAAAGGGAGGGACAGCGATAGAGAGACGGATGCAAGGGGGACGAATGCAGGGAGAGGCAGCTACAGAGACAGAGAAAGCAAAAGAGAGATTGTGAAAGAGAAAAAGAAAAACAGAGACAGAATGAAACGGGGACAGACGGGTAGAGGGAGACGGAGAGAGGGAGGGGGGAGAGAGGAAAGGATAAAGAGAGAGATGAAGGGCAGAATAACGTCTGACAGGTTCCGCTAGTAACAATACATTCCGTTCCCTACGTATATTAATTGAATAATTGGACCCGTAACGCGAGCGAAGAGCGCGCCTTCTGCGCTGCGTGGCGCGGCGCAACGGCGTGAGTCAGGCGGCGGCGCGTGTTTATTGTGGCGGCCTCGCCTTGGCCGAATGGACGATGGCGGCGGTGGTGGTGGAAGCGGGCGGGCGCGGGTGCGTGGGTGCACCGCTGTGTATACGGGCGCCCGCGCGGGACTGCGCCCAAGGCCACGCCCCATGCCCACGCACGGGCGGTGCGTTTCTCGCTCTGCTTCGCCCAGCGAACCATCCCGTACCGAATCATGTTGCTGATAATGATAATAATAACAATAATAGCAATAATAATAATAATATTAATAATAATAATAATAATAATGCTGATCCGAAGGCCGAGATCCCTGAATCAGTAGTGCTGTAGCAGTCGCGGACCAGAAGATCGTGAGTTCGAGTCCCGTCTCGGGCATGGTGTATTGTGTGTGTCTCTGTATGTTTCTGTGTGTGTGTTTCATCATTCATCATTATCATGATCAGAATTTAACCCCACCTGCACTTACCCCGTTCATCAAGTCTGAGGTACGTTGGGCTGCACGAAACGCGTGGCCTCATGAAGGCGGCCGATTCGCGAAATAATAATAATAATAATAATAATAATAATAATAATAATAATAATAATAATAATAATAAGAGAAGAAGAAGATATCCTCAGACTGGACACTTCCAGCGGAATCTCAGTTCACGAACAGGCATGATGCAGTAGTGAAAATAATCCACCAAGAATTTACCCAGAAGCACTAGTTAATAACATGCGCAAATTATTATTATTATTATTATTATTATTATTATTATTATTATTATTATTATTATTATTATATATTTGCATATTGCAGAAGAACGGGAGAACTTCCCTCTCCCGCACGCCCCATAAAATGCTCATAGGAGTCAACAATCCCTTATCGGATGTAGGCATTTCAACGCTTCACACGTATTAAAGAAGCTATGTCCCGAGTCGTGAGGAGCGCCTTATCACCTCCTCGAGACATCTGTCGAGACGCATATGCGAGAGCAACTGACGATGCCTACTGGTCGAAGCGCTAATTCAAGGAATCTGCATTCTCTTCCATTATGCGACGTCTGGTGTGGCGATTCCAAAGAGAATGCGGAAGGCTCGTGCCAGTAAAGAAGGGATGCGGTGGTGACACGGATAGCTTATCGGGCTTTCATATCGACGTTCGGGGGTTCAAATCGAATCAAAACATGTTGCTGATAATGATAATGATGATGATGATAATAATAATAATAATAATAATAATAATAATAATAATAATAATAATAATAATAATAATATCATCCTCAGACTGGTCACAGTACACGGACAGGCATAATGCAGTAGCGAAAATAATCCACCAAGAATTTACCCAGAAGCACGAGTTAATAAAATGCGCGAATTATAATAATAATAATAATAATAATTATTATTATTATTATTATTATTATTATTATTATTGTAGTATATATATAATGATACTACAGAATATTAATTTTAAATAGTTACATAATTCTCACATAAATATTTAAATCAATTTTGCCAAACAAAGGAAGGAAAGAAACGATAGCTCGAAGACACTAGGCCTTTGAGGGGGGGGGCATTGCTCCCAACTTTAATAAACGAAAGATTTTCCCGCGCGTTGGGTTTGTTCTAAGTCCTGATTTGGACCTGGATGTTAAGCATCCCATTGTTAAAATTGTCTCCATCGAGATTGAGGATGCATTTTCTATGACCCTGTATTGGAGAAATTAGATTTTACTTGTCCGAGATAACGCTCAAGAAATCATTCCTGCCGATATTTCGCACTCGCGGGGGCAGAATGTGCAGCGAAGACGTGCTTAATTCTCAAGAGCGCGGAGGGTTGCGTAGTGCTTCAGTTCAGGGGCGCTTGAGTCAACGTAAACGCATGAACTAAACAACGGGTATGCAAATCAAGATATAGGACACATTCCCATTGTACTGTGTGTATATTCTTTGCGCAAGTGCAAGTAATTAGTTGGCACAGTTTTATCGCAAGTGGATGAACGGTAGATCAGGGCGTAGAATACGAACAAACAAGCATTGCTTTTTATATATTGGACAAGCGGAACCCGCCAGGCGTCCTGCCCTCCATCTCTCTTTCTTCTTCCCTCTCCCTTTCTCTCTCCGTCTGTCTCTCTGCCTCCGTCTCTCTCCATGCCTCTCTCCTCTTTTCTCTTTCCCTCTCAGACTCTCTCTCCGTCTCCCTCCCCGCTCTCTATCTTTATCTTTATCTCGCCTGGCAAAATTTCACAATCGCAGGGGCAGAAAATGCAATGATGACGCTCCAAATACTCGTACCTGGCGATGTGGCGGGTAGCATAGAGCGCCCCGTTCAGGGAGGGGCGCTTGAGCCAACATGAATGCATTATCAACGCGCGTTTACGTGCGCAAGGATATGCACATCCCCATCGAACTATGCCTACATTCTTCCCACAAGAGCCAGTAATACGTGAACAAAGTGTTACCGCAATCGCATGAACTAAACGGCAGCGCATAAAATAGGAATAAACAAACATTGATTTTTATGTATTAGATGTCCTCTTTTTTTTCATAAAGGAAGTATGGTAACCTTCTTGCCAGTCGCCCCAACTCCCCCCTCCCCGGGCGGTGGCGCCTGGTCGTATCATGGCCGCAACCCGGCGCTCTCCACCCACGGCAGTCCTCCCCTTTCACGTAACAGCCCCGCTCCGCCCCACCACGCCGTGCCGCGCCGCTTTGTGAGAACGCGGGGGGTGCGGCGCGCGCCCTGCGCTCTGTCGTCGCTCGCCAGGACCTCTCCCGCCGCCGACGGAGGCGCCCGGGCGGCTGAAGGAGCAAGTTCAAGGCCGGCGTGCGCGGTGACGTCAGCGGGCGCCAGCGCGCGCGCACACACAGGCGGCCTTTGTGGCGCCCTCCCCGACCCCTGTGTCGGCGAGTGGGGGAGGGGGGAAGGGAGGGGCCGCCCGGCGGGATTATGCACCGAACGCGGAGGATAAGGACGATGAGGATGAGGACGAGGATGAGGATGAGGGCGAGGACGACGAGGACGAGGAGGACGAGGACGAGGACGAGGAGGAGGATGAGGACGAGGGGAAGGTTAAGGACGAGGAGGAGGATTAGGACGAGGAGGAGGATGAGGACGAGGGGAAGGATGAGGACGAGGGGAAGGATGAGGACGAGGGGAAGGATGAGGACGAGGGGAAGGATGAGGACGAGGAGGAGAAGGATGAGGACGAGGAGGAGAAGGATGAGGACGAGGAGGAGAAGGATGAGGACGAGGGGAAGGATGAGGACGAGGAGAAGGATGAGGACGAGGACGAGGAGAAGAAGTCCGAATCGAAGAGGATGTCCGCCATTCAGCCACGCAAATCCGGAACGAGACCTACCGATTGAATCTGGCTGTCAGGTTCCCCTCCAAACCGCTTCCCGGTTAACGCCCTTTCACCTTTGGCTACCTAAGAAGGCGTAGTCCAATTGCATCCCGGTTGTTTTGGGAAGTGGAAGGAAGTAGCGATTTTGTTGTTTCCATTCACGAATAATATTCTCGCACTAGTCGAGATAATTCTCGATCACAGATACAGGTGGCAGAGTTATTCGAATTCTGTATATATGACTAACACATAATTATTAAATAATTTAAATTTTAAATTCTGCGTAATTAGAGGAAGACCATGACCTGAACCCCGTCTTTGGAGCAGCCCACAGTATAATTAGAATAAGTTACAATCAATTAAGAACATTCAGTACACTTGCATTCCAAAATAACAACGTTAACGTTCCCTTTCAGTCGGACCATTACAATAGAAGAGTTGCGTCGAATCCGGTTGGGGCACATGGGGTGAGAGTTCCGGCACATGGGATGACCTTTCGACCCACATTGTCAGTGAAGAGAGGGTTCAGCAGAACAATGCCCCATCGCGAAGAATTACGATTTGAAGCGCTGAACGTGAGTCCAGTCGGGTCGGGTCGGTTCGAGTCTGTTGGAGTCGTGTTCGAGTCGTGTTCGAGTCGGGTCGAGTCGGGTCGAGTCGGGTCGAGTCGGGTCGAGTCGGGTCGAGTCGGGTCGAGAAGGGACGAGTCGGGTCGGGTAGCACTGAAATGAAGTCGAGACGGTTAGAATTGCGTAGGGTCGGATAGGGATTCGCAATTCGGTGGTCATCCCGGTATCCTCTCCCTTCACTCCACACGTCTACTCGTACACAACACAATCCCACTTGTCGGTAGCTTAGATCTAATCCCGGGTGTGGCAGTGCCCCGCTGAGCGAGACATCTGATGAAATGCGGAGGACAAATCCACCGCGAACAGACGTCAGCGCCGGATTTCACCATCCAGCTGTGGAGGAAGACCACGGGAGAAATTTATAAAGCTTCCGTCCGGAAACATCAATTATTTAATTTTTTTTTTTACGACAAATAAATCAAATCGAACGCTTGTGAACACGCATCCTTCACACGACTTCTCACGGCCGTCAGGTCTCTGCGCTCACCGCCCATGCCCAGTCCCGTTGCTCCGGTCGTTCCGTGCGCCGCCTCCACCTCCGCCTTCCCTCCTTTTGCGACATCGATAATAAAACATTGATGTTAGCAAACATCGATGATAAAAACTAAAACATCGACTGAAAATGTTAATGTCGATGTTTCTGAACATCTATGCTTTTAGTCTAGAGGAGTAACCTATAAAATTCCAACCATTAAATTAACCATTAAATTCGTGTGTATTAAAATTTAATTTCTCAGAGTTCGTTTTTATCAATTCGCCGAATATGGGCACGAGAAGAAGAGGAATATCGTACGCCTACGGCATATTTGTTAACCCCAATTCAAAGTGCTAAATTAATATGAACAAAAGAGGAAATACTCGAACAATGGCACGGAGGTCATCTCGGGCGACAGATTTTTTCGATGAAGGTAGTACAAATGGCGTTTCTTTGGTCCCCACACGTGAATAGAATAACAGTGTTACCATAAGTTATTATTTCATATATTAACGTTAAGAGTATTGTGATCATGAGAATTTTTCATTCAGAAACAAAACTTCAGAAAAAAATAGTGATCAGAAAACATCGAAGTTAAAAACATCGATGTTTGAAAACATCGATGCTACAAACATCGATGTTAAAACATCAGAATTATAAAAACATCGATGTTATATAAGCATCGATGTTATAAAAAACATCGATGTTCTTAAAACATCGACATCGATAGTCCTAAGGAGTGAGCTTCGCGATGGTCGCGTCGTTTGGCAAGGCGGACGCGCCGACGCGCCCTCACCCGTGACGCAACGGGCGTTGGGAACACTTCGCTCGCGTACGCTCCCATTGCCACACACGCTCTCGTTACCTCACGCTCCGCTCGGATCGGGTTGGTCTGGGCCGGTTCGGATTGAGCTGAAGCGAATCGGGTTGATTCGGGTCGAGCGGAATCAGACTGGTAGAGAGGTCAGATTCGGGCTGACTCGGATCGACAAGTTTCAGATTGGGATAGGTCAAATTGGGTTGATACAGTTCGAGCCGTATCAGATTAATATAGGTCAGATCGGGTTGATACGGATTGAGCAGCACCAGATTAACAAAGGTCAGAATGGGTTGATATGGATTGAGCAGCATCAGATTAAGAAAGGCCAGATCGGTTTTATTTGAATCGTGCAATGTCAGATTCGGGTAGATTCGGATCGAGTCGTATCAGTTTGGGGTAGTTCAGATAAGGCTGATACGGATCGAGCAGTGCCCGTCTAGGATAGATAGGCCGGGCTGTTTCAGATTGGAATAGGTCAGGTGAGGTTGACTCAGATCGAGCTGCATAAGATCGGAATACGTCAGACGAAGCTGATCCGGGACTAGCAGAATCCGACTGGGATAGGTCAGAGGGGCGTTGATTCTGATCCAGCTGTATCAGACTGGGATAGGTCAGAATGGGTTGATTCATATCATATCGTGTCGGATCGAGCAGTACCCGTTTATGATAAGACGGGTTGAGCAGAATCAGATCGGATTGATTCAGGTCGGGTAGTAACTAAATGAGATAGGTCAGATCGGGTTGGGTCGGATGGGATCGCATTGCGTCCAATCGGGTTTCGTTTGATCGTTTGTCGGAGTGAGTCGGAATCCGTCCGATTGAGTCCCATTGTGTTGGTTCGACCAGGTTAGGTTGGATCAGGTTGAGTTGGATTCCATTTCTTCGGATCATATTAATAGGTCGGATAAAAATGAGTCGAATGGGGTGAGATCAAGTCATGTCAGGTCACATCAAGTCATGTCATGTCATGCCATGCCATGCCATGTCACGCCATGCCATGCCATGTCACGCCATGTCAGATCAGGTCATGTCATATGTCATGTCATACGCCATGTGAGGTCAGGTCAGGTCAGGTCGATCGAGGGATAGCATATGAATCGTAGTAGTCCCGCGTTTTCCTACGGCCTTGCATGACCTCCTTACGTTATGCGGCGCGGCGTTTCGAGCGCCAGGAACATCATTCAACATCACTTCTGTGTAAAGCTGAAGAATAGACATTGCGGAACAATGCCTCCCGATGGACACTTGACTGCTCAAGTAGGACTCCGACTGTTCAAGGTATACTCCACTGGGAACTATTGTCAGATCGGGGACGCGCATGGAATCGTATTGGTCCCAAGGACTGCTGTGTGTGGCAGCGTCGCCATCACAATCGTTCTGAACGTTGCCACCTTCGCGCTCATCGCAGTAACTATCGTATCGGAAGGGGTCGCCGACGTTCTACTTTTGCCGATGTCTGTAGTGGATGTCAGAGTCTACATTGCATTTGGTACGTGATAGACGTTTTTTCGCGGAAGTTTGGCAACGCAAAAGCGCACCCACATGTGGCGAAACGTACACACGTAAGACACGCCCCCGCCCACGCTCTGATAACAAGCGCATGCGTCCGATGTTAGTGAACCTACTGGTTTTTGCGTGTTATGGCAGTAACTCCCTTCTTTATTGTCGTTTTTATCGGCTTAAGTGGCTCAGGGACGTTAACTGATGTCACTGCAGTGCCTCTGACCGGAAGCACTTAGGGTTCCAGTCCCGACGATAGTAGGATTTTCGATTCTAACTAGACAACTACGTCGGATTCAGCCGCTGTTTGGATGTGAATTCTAGATAACTGCTGCTCTGATCGGTAGTGTTCAGTGATTTCGCCGCTCAACACCAGAAGAATGCCGTGACAGAACACTAAAAACTGGCTAAGGGCAGCGTACGTTAATTCCTTCCCGTTCCTTATTCTATATTCATCTCTTAACTTACACACTCTTACTTACACTACCACACATATCGGGAGCTTAGTCTGTCCCGGGAAGGGTGCCATCTCGCTGGTGGGAGATACCTGATTGAGGAAAACCTTGCAAACCTACGTCGTATCCCATCTTCCAGCGGGCAAAGATCACCGCTACCTTCCACGATAAAAACATGTACTACACGTGCGGGGCTAATGACTGTAGCTGTTGATGCGCCCGGAAACACGAAATAATGTTTGTTTTCATAACATCAGTACTGCGTCATTGTAAGAAGTGCGGAATGCCTCCCCTGTAAGTTGCGCAGACTTTGATGGGGTGGTTCAGAAGTACTTCTCCATGGCGTTTCAATCGGATTTGGGAGATACGACAGATGGTAGGTAGAGAGTAGAGAGAAGGAAAGATCGCTTGCGGGGTTTATATAAGGCGTTGCTACGGTATTCTCCCGGCAGATCAGTGATCAGAGCAGTCGACTTACGAATTAGATTATGGAAGGTGCCACAAGTAAGGTGCCTATGTTAAGACCATGAAACACATTCATGGCACCTACTCGGAATCGATTCCGTGATCTCCTTATCACGTGAATTTAGATTTCCTGTTTTGATAACGAAACATTTTACGCACAACAAAACAAATTACGAACATTTTATGCATTCATTGAAGATGTTACTTTCATTTCAAAACTATTTGAATCATGTGACTGATGAATAACGTCCTGTCCAGAACAGGCGCCAATCACTAACCGAATACAAAGTCCCCTCTAGTCCACGCCGGGAGACCGGCCGGACTCTTAGAGCATGGATGGGAAGCTGCCCCGTTGGTGGGAGATACCTGGTTTGGGGAAACCCGACTAGCAAACAATAAGTCGGCGTCGGTTCTCGACATCCAGCGAGGAAAGATCACAGCCACCTCCTGAGGGGGGAACATGGACTACGCTTACGGAACTAGTGCCGTCAGTAGTTGCCGTGCTAGGAATCACAAATAAACAACCAAGCGTCTCCTCTAGTACAGGCTAGCGACATAACGTTCTCAAATGAATATTTCAGTGAACCTTAAACACAATCATGTGTGAAAATCGAAATAATGACCAACTAAAAAAAACCTGCATTTCCCCCTTTTTTTGTATTTTCATCGTTTCTCGAACTAATTCACGAGTCTAATCGTTCGGCGTGGCTCCTAATAGCATTTTCTGGGCATGTGCTTACCTTGAGGTCCCTGTGCACGACGCGGCGGTTGTGGCAGTACTCGACGGCCGAGAGGATCTGCCAGAACTTGCGCCTCGCCGCACTCTCCGACATGCGGCCGTAGCGAGCGATGTAGTCTGCAACACACGTACACACACACACAGTCAGTGCCTGCACACCACTAATAACAGAAATATTATGTAATGACAATTATTAATTATACAGGATGCCCGGGGAGGAAATGGCGAAAATTTCGAAAATAAGCTCTTAAGACAATTTGAAGCATATTGTGTCTAATAAACTACGTGGATATTTCGAATGGTTGAGCCGCAATAAGCTGGCAAAAATATGGTTTAAAAAAATGTTTTCTAGGCAAAAATTTGCATTCCAGAAGGATAGAAACATGTAAATTGTTTATTATTTACAAAGGAAATGAATATATTATGAAATAAAAAAGCAGTGTTAAATTGAGTAATTTGGGTGCTTTTTGTATTTCTCGCTTAATTTTTCTTCCTGAAGAAATATATTAATATCTTTTGTAAACAATAAACACTTTGTATGTTTTAAGAGTGTTTCTATGGTTCTGGATTACAAATTTGTGCCTAGAAATCATTTTTCCAAACCAACTTTTGAGTGCTTATTCCGGCTTAGTCATTTGGAATATCCACGTAGTTTATTAGACAAAATATGATTAAAATTGTCTCAAGACCTTATTTTCGAAGTTTCCTACCCGGACACTACCCGGATACTACCCCTGTATATTATACAACGAAGGCGCGCATGTACTAGGATTTATTTAACCATGCACTTGACGTAAATCAGCTATACACGATTTCATCCAATCGGGAGCTTCAACGTCCCCATAGTGACGTCACTGTAGCGACTTTAAGCTCCCGATTGGAGGAAACCGTAACAGAGGAAGGACTGTCAGGCTGTCATCGGGCAAAGGTCATCCCTGAGATGCTGAAGATATTCATAAATATAGTTGTTACTAATTGTTTCAGTAACGTAGGTCATTTCATATCTCAATTGGATTTAACTATACATCACCAAACAAAACATACATTTTAAATTCAGAATAACATTTCTTTACAAGAAAACATCAAAATCTACATACTAACCCCATATACACATACACAGAAAAGTCCTGGTTTTGCTACTGAGTAACAATATGTATATAGTACCCAAGATGCAAATCAACAAAGACCAATCTTTCATGTGGCTTAAGAGGGGAAGGAGGACTAGGAATCAGTAGAAACAGTTGCCCAAAATCAGACATAAGGAACACATGTTGATACAGCGGTTCTCAAACTTTCCTTATAAATGCTTTATTTATTGATAGAAACTATTGATTGCATTGTCTCATGAATTGCGGGAATCTTCTTATATTGTCTCAGGTTGTCCAATCCTAGAAAACTAGTTACCTCTACCGGCAGGCTGCACGCGTTCCTCTTTTGAAACAAAGAGTTCGAATGCTGGCACTAAACCTGTAACGTAGATTATTGAAGTATGCATGAACGTCGCCACTGTTAGGAAGGGGACACGTTCCCCCAATACGTTTTTTTACTGAAATGTTAGGAAAATGTCGAAATGTTTCAATTTTCGAGGACGCGAAAAAAGATTCAATGTAATAAATTTTTGCCAAAGAACATTTGGAGATAAATGTCAAATTATGATGTTACACAAGTGATATTTGCCCCTGATTGGCAGGCAACCCGTCGTGCATTTCTCTTTGACAGAAAAACGAAATACTTATGTTTCACATCGTCAGAACGTGATCTGTCCCAGGCCAGGGCATGGCGGGTTGCCTACCAATAAGAGGCAAAGATCAAAGCGTAACTTCGTATAGTATTACATAGCCCAGCACAATTTCGGGGTGCAAAATTTGTATTATTTATACAAATATTTTCTGTGTGTGTGTGTGTGTGTGTGTGTGTGTGTGTGTGTGTGTGTGTGTGTGTAAGTGCGTGTGTCTAAGAAGGGGCGTAAAACGTAATTTTGAAGTAATCTTTTCCGAAGTTTCCATAGCAAAAAAAGTCACGAGTATCATCAGATTTGGTGATGGTGAAAGAATGTGCTTTTAGCGATTTATATTTAAATTAATTTTAACGCATTTTAATAAAAGCATTATCTTCAGAAATAATAACTTCACTTGTTCCATATCTTGCTGAATTGTATTAAAAATGCTATCTGAAAGTTGACCAATCAGTTTGAAGTTACCATTTTGGACGTTTCTATTAATTTTCATCAATTAAAATAAAAAAGAAAGTTTTTGTTTGTTTGTTTGTTTGTGTTTTTTTCCCTCCAATGACGGTGAGGGGAAAAGCATGAATTGAAGCTTGATTTAAACTCTGGCCTTCACGGACAGCGCCACACGCCGAAGCAACGCTCCTCGCCCAGCGAGTCGTTTGGTGCCAGCGTTGGCCGCGGCGTATTTCTGGCGCGCTGAAAGCAAGCGCAGCACCGAATGGAGCCTACTCATGGCGTGCGCGCGGGCGGGCGGGCGCGTCCACAAAATAAATACGCGCGATTGCGTCCGGTGAGCCATTAACCGGTTATTGCCATCGCTGAAATGCGCGCTTTGAGCGGTCGCTAGTGCGTGTGGATTGCGGTCAATATGTCGCCCTGGGACTTTTAAAATGTGCCTCCAGCTTCCAAACATTTCGAACGTAAAGGACTCTGTTTTGTACATCTAATTTTACAGCAGATTAAATATATTGTCCTCTTTTGCAAGTAAATATATAAAGATCTATAAAGATAATAATCTATATCAGAAAAAAAACTTCTAACACGTGATATAGCCAGAATTCATGTTTTGTGCGTTCTTGATACCGAAAATTCGAATGACGGCAAAAGTCTCCTCTGTCTGCTCCTGCTGTCCGTTTGTGAACAACGCTATCGGCTAAACCGTTTAGTCGAATTTCTCCAAAATTGATATTCCCGAATAGCTTAGGTAATGTCGAGACCCCTTGAATTTGAAACCGATACTTTAATTCTGGGGGTACTTTCCATTAAACCCCTGGGGCATTTTCAAAATTTTCATATAATAGCTCCATTGTTTTTCATTACATTTTGTAGTTTGATAGTGTAAAGGTTTAAGATTCATTTTTGTTGAACTTTTTTCGGATCTTCCTATAACTGAAATATTAAAGATAGAGGTTTTCCCTTAATGAAATCTGTTCCATAGAAATAGATTTTGAAATAAGATCAAGTACAGTTTTCCGCAAATTTGAGTACTTTTCGCTTAACTTTGCATGAAACTACAGGCGAGAAAATACGTGCTATTTAGCACCACTAGTTTGTTTGATGTTTAATGTCATTCCTTGTTCGCTTAATGTTTGACTAATGACATCACAAACATGTCGAAACTTACCCACTTCCTTTACTGTCCCTTTCCTTTTAAATTACTGATTTTTTTTTCTAATCCACCCACCGCAACCCCTATTCTTTTAGCCCCGACCTTCTTCGGAGAGCCCTGTATCGCCATGGAAGTTTCCCACAGCCACAACCGCACCTTGCTTACAAGCACCGTTTACTCTTTCTTTCGCTCTATCTCTCCCTCTTTCTCTCGTTTTCCTATTTGCCCGCGAGCGCGTGTAGACGCTTTCTTTAGCGCACGACATGCAGCAGGAGCAGCGAAGGAATTGCCTGTCGGCTGCAGCGACAAAACACGAAATGAACGGCGGTTGCGAGAAGTATGGCACTCCGCCTCCCGCTGCCAGAGGCCGCCTCCGTTGTGCCCCGGAGACAAGTGCTCCGTTTACAGCTCTGCTGGAAGGAGCGCTTTTTTGTTTTGTTTTCGGAGGCGGAGGAAAGGTGGGGTATTGCAAAACACAATTTTCTGTGCAATTTTAACTTTCAGTTAAATATAATAAGTAATATGTTGATTATTTTTGTTTCCGTGTGCCTCCAATTTTTATGGTATATATTCCTGGAAATGTAGTGCATGCTATAAGTGTGTGGGGGGGGGGGAAGCAGTAGCGACGGACCATGGCCTACCAGCGACGTCCCGGCCTCGCTGTCACGGGTTAAGGGGGGACATGTGGTTAGCACGTAGACATCCCCACGGCCTATTCCGGTCTTCTCAACCTGAGAAGTGAATTTTCTCATCGACCCACAGCAACATATACTGGGACATTGCAAGGAAAACGCACACTATAATCTTGACAGACTGGGAACCGACCTGGAGTATTATTGTTGTTGTTATTATTATTGTTATTGTTGTTGTTGTTGATGTTGTTGTTGTTATTGTTGTTGTTATCGTTGTTGTTATTGTTGTTGTTATTGTTGTTTTTGTTATTGTTGTTGTTATTGTTTTTGTTATTGTTGTTGTTGCTGTTGTTGTTATTGCTGTTGTTGTTATTGCCGTTGATGTTATTACTATTGTTATTATTAAGTATTATTACATCAAAAATGCTATATGGATCCACGATCTAAGAGTCTTGATCGATCTAAGGACTCGGTGGACCAGGGAGGGAATGGGTGCAACAGGGCATGTCTGGAGGTGACAGCGTGTGGGGGTGCTGGCAGTCAGACGCTGAACAGGCAGGCACTAGCCTAGAATGAACGCGAAGACACGACAGTCAAACAGCAACGAAGCACCTTCCATCTGGACGTTTCACCCGCTGGCAGTGACGTTTAACCAGCGTTTGCTAAACCAGGTCGCTTACGGCAGCGTCTGCTGTAGACATCACGAATAATTGAGGTGTCATACGCTGCTAAATGAGTGGTACCTTTGCGGAAACGAAAGTGCTCACCTACAGGCACGAGATGGAACGTCTCTTTCTACAAATATATATACAAATCCTTATTTAGAAGATTGAGTGACCATAAAAAACCTAGCTGACAGACGGAGAGTAATTATTAAGAACTCACTTTCTCTCCTATCGGAATCAAAGGAATCCGAGGAACAACACAAAAGCAACTCGATAGTGACCAAGACGTACAAGCACAAAAAAACTCAAATGACTCAACAAGCAATTAATGTCCCATACACCACATTTAACATGGCAAACACCTGGAAGCTGATAGAGATGGCTGTAAAGGCAACAAAACTGTGGCTTAGGAAAGGACATCTTTTCGAAGAAAAAACGTATAAAAGATGGCTAAGACATAATGACCCCATCCAAATTTCTGT